TAGGAATTCCTTAACATCATTTACGACTGAATCTCAGATGTAGACTTTAAAAGGGACAAGATTTCATTGTTTCCAAATTATAAACTTGCCTTGTGTAACTTGAGCCCTCCCTACTCTCAAGTAGGGGTAAGGTCTGTCCACCCTACTCTCATGGGCTCCAACTAGGTTGTTGTTATTATTATTAATTTGCCTTTGCATTTTATTTAAAAAGCCTGTATTTAGAATAAGTGTAAAAGATTGAAACACCTTAAATAACACGTACAGTTTATAAACCAAATATTCAATGAATCAATGAATTTGGGAAACTTGCCCACCTTGATGAAAGTTATCCGTCACTGAATTCCTTTCTGCCCTTTTCTCATTATGTTCTTCGTCTATTTTTTCCTTTTCCACACGTCTGTATAGCTCTTTGTCAGCCCTAAGCATGGTTTTCTCATGTTCTGGGTCAGACTGATCCTCACTGAGGTCATAATCAGCATGTGAAGCAATGGCCTTCTGGAGACAGCCAACAAAAGCAATAGTTAATAACAGAACATGACACTGTGCAAATTTATGGCTGAAAAAACTACCTTTTCATCATTCAAGGGTTTCCCCCTTGTTAAGGGAGAACTTTTAACATCCCAGTGCAAGGCATGTGTTCTATTGGATTTATAACGGGCACGGGTGGCTGCAGAAGTGTCAGGTAGAAAATGGGTGAACTCCTCAAGTAAGTCAGGGTGTTCATGCAAAAGAGAGGCAACCTACGAAATGGAAGCATTACAATGATTAGCAAATAAAGCATAATAGCAGAATAGCAATTATTTTGAAATATCTACGCTGGTAAAGGATCAATATGAAACAAAGAAATAAATAGAAATACCATACCCTCTGGTAAACCTCTGATATTGATTTACTTTCTTTTCTATACATGTTTAAAATGTCAAGAAAAGATTTATATACATAATCATCACCTTGGAATCTAGCCTGCAAGAAGGGGGAAATCAGCATAATTGATTGTTATCCAAAAAAGGACAACATTAGAGAGACCAGAATTAAATGACATAAACCTTTATCTTGTTAACAAAATTAATTGCTTCATCAAACTCCACGGGTTTCCTCAAGGGAGTTAGTTCGTCTTCTTGTGGAAGGGTGATCTCGTATCCCTTCGGCAAGAAGGTATTGAAACCCAAAATTAGGTCTCTATGCCCTCTAAATAGATCTTTTACCCTTGCTATGACACCAGATGTGTCAATCCTGCAAGAAATGACAACAATGATAAACAAAATGAGTCAATGTTAAATGTTTCACTAAAGTTGTAGTCAGAATTAAGTAAACAAATGTTGGGAAATTCTCACATCAAACTAAATGAAGGGAAAATGTGCACAATTGCATCTCAATTTCTAGATACATTGTTTTAAGGTCTTGAATCTATAAGCTCGATCCATTTTAACTAAAATACAAGGAGTCCATTTAGTCCCTGCTAACTCCAAATCACCAATGAAACTATTCAACTGAACTGTCCAAACTTCAACCGGAAGTAAACAAGAAAAAAAAACCTTTGAGCCTTGAAATCCTTCATAGCTTCAAGAAACTCATCATATTTCTCCCTTTTGTCTCGAAATATTTCTTTCACAGCCTTCAAGTATGCAAGGGCATCAACTGTTGTTAGCTTTTGCGCAGTTCTTCCACTCATCATTTGGTGTCGTTCAAACCTTCAATGTCCAAAGAGAAAAACCAACTAAACTAATAGGCATAGCATCAGTTCCAACTTTTTGTGAAATTAAACTAATACCTGAATACAAACACTATTTGAGACAAGGGAACACACTCCTTTAGTCTCCACCAATGGTGTTTTACCCACTCGTGCAATTACACAGTAACCAAGTCCAAGAAAATAACTATTTCACAAATTGAATCTCGTATTCGCCTTAAAACATAAACATATCTAACCCGCAAAAAACACACAAAGAACCAACGTAATTAGCCTAAAACCTAACTTCGATTAAGATCATTGTCAAAAAAATCCTTACACAAAATTTTTCACACATATAACTGAAGCAATTAACTCCACTGTGTTACTTAGAGTTTGAGGTAAGCAAAGCAGAAACAATGACACACAAAAAAACAAACTTTACCATGTGATCCTTCGATGGAGTAAAAAACCTTGAACTCTTGAGTGATGAATTGTTATTTCAAGAAACTACACATGCATAATCTCTTTATGTACGGTGTATGGTGTGGAAAATGTAGTTATATGCATGAATTTTGAGTTTATTTATTGATTCTCATTTTGATTTTACATACTAAAAATTGGCTTTGATTTCTAGTATGGCATACACTCTATGAAGCACATTTATGATGTATATGTGCTTATGTATATGGGAAGGGGAAAGAGCTGAAGAAGTGACTCTGGCTAAAAGGTCATCTTGGGTGTGATTGGAAGGAGAATGAATTTGACAGTTCATATTCAGATATTCTATTAAATTATTTAGTATTTGAGATTCTTAATGATAAATTGATATTAATAATAACAATACAGAGTAGTTATAACTATAATAATATGGCTAAATTCAAAAAGAGTTGTTCTTTCGTGTTCCTAAGGTCCACATGTGAAATGTAGACCTTTTCACACATTTTATGGGCTAGCAAGTGGATCTTTTCTTTTTTGCAACAAGGTCAATTTTTTTATGATATCGATGCACTAAGACCACAAAAGAATTTCCCATTCAAAACATGTTTTAGTGAACTGCAATGTATTATTATTGTTATTATTATAACTCACTACTTCGTAGCCTGTGGTGTTATTATTACAATATTGTTATCTTAAAAATGATAATAAAATAAGAATATAATACAATTCAACCATCTAAATTTCTTTTCTTTCCAATCGCACCCAAAATCACATACACTAAAGAGTAACTCAACGACTCCTTGTGGTCTCCACCTTTCTTGTGAATCGTATGTCTGTCCCTCTCATATACACATGCACGCATATATACTTACATATGTGTGCTTTGAAGAGTTCATAACATTCAACAATGGAAAGCAACTTGTTACAGCAACAACAACAATAAGCACTTAAATCCCACCAGTGTGGTGTGTGTACGCAGACCTTAGCCCTACCTGGAAGTATAGAGGATGTTTTTAAGAGACCCCCGATGCAAGTAACACAGATAGCACGGAAAGCAACTTGTTGATATCATGATATGTAAAAAAGGAAATCAATAATGCATACAATAACATTTTCGGCACCATACTATAAGAGATTCTTTATATGCAACTTTTAAACAACAAAAATCTTCATTTAAACATATGGAACTTTGAACCAATCCTACCTGGAAGGTCTAGTTCGAATGTGGAGCAGCTTTTTGTTTGTCCGGCGGAGGAAATCCCAGCTACAGGTCTAGTTCCGGTTAAATTGCGAGAATCTCCAATTGGAACCATAAATCGTATGTTTTGCAAATCTCAAATCTTGCTGCGTCCCATCCCTGTTATAAATTTTAATGCCGTTCTTTCTGATCAAATTACCATTTTTAGACTCACTGTTGATATTCACGAGTGTTTCGTAGCTTAGTGAAAGCTGGTTTTCCACTTAGGCCTTAGAGGAAGTATACTGCCAAGTATATGAGTAATGAATGTGATAAGGGTAAAATGATCACAAAAAGGGTGAATTGTTGAACTGGAACTTAGCTAGGATTACATGTATAGCATGCAGAATTGTAAGGGTCCGTTTGGTATAAGGAATTGACGGAATTGGAATTGAAATTCCATGGGATTCAATTCCATAGAATTGAATTCTGCCAATTCAAATTCATTTATTGCACTATTAATTCCAAATTCACATAATTTTTGTGCTATCAAACACCAGAATTGGAATTGAAGTCCTCAATTACAATTCCATAATTTGAATTCCACATGCCAAATGGAACCTAAGACTTTTAAAAAATTCATCTTTCATCACATCAATCAAGTACTCCACAAATGCTCCGTTGCTTGGAGGAATTAAATATAACATCTTCGACAACACTCTCCTCACCTTGCAATGGACGGGAGCCTTTGAGGCACTGGGGTAATGTTGTTGTTGTTAGTTTCTTCGGCAACACTCATTCAAGGGTTCAACCGATTTTGGATTAAAATTTTGGTGATTAACTATTTCTCATGGAAAGAAAATTAGTTAAACATTTGTGGAGTTACATGAATGGTCACAACTCACTAAAGTTTTTTTTTTGCACAACTAAAAAATAGTAACCTTTCGGCATGGCTTAGTAATTAATTAATTATTTTAAATTAACTTATTCCAGGCTTAGTAATTAATTAATTATTTTAATTAATTAAAATAATAAGCCGGGTTCTAGGACATTACAATTACACTCGGTTGAGTCTGGAATTGCAAATAGCTTACTCCGTATTATATTGTGATTCAGCACTACAGATCTGGGAGGAACTTTCCGAGAGATCCAATCAATCTAATGCTCCTAGACTGCTTCAGTTACACAAAGATATGGTTACTCTTGTTCAGGATTTTGATTCAGTGTCAGAATATTTCACCAAACTGAAAGGACTCTGGGATACATATCTCAAAATGATCTCTCTGCCTACTCGTTAATGTGTGTCTACTTGTTAAATATACTCATGATGACACCCCTTCCAAATGTCAATCAGGCTTACAAGCTGATCACACGAGATGAAAGTCCAAGATATTGTAACAATATAGCTCCCATAACCACTGATTCTGCTGCACTGACATCGGTTCAACACAATAATAGTGCATCTTCTTTTTTATAACAAACGAGAACAACAGCAGCGACCTGATCAGTTCACCCAATCCCAACCAAGTAACATGTAAAAGAGCCCCGACCAAATTCTAAGGCATGCTCTTTACCGAAATTCAACGACATAGGGTTCAAGAGTTTAATTCAGCAATCAATCCAATAATTATGTCCATCAATTCAACATTCAATAGCTAGAAAGTAAATCAATAAAGTTCTAATCTACAAATAGATCCTAAAAGGTAGACCACGACTCACCTCAATTGATTGAAGAACACGTATTGCGGAACGAAGCTAAGATGGCGTTGAATTTTCGGTGCCAAGCCTGGTCATCTCCTTCTCTGTTCCGACCGCTATCTCCCTCTCTCCCCTCCTGCTCTCTACCCGTGCGCAAGAAGGGTAAGACGAAGGTGGTGATGGCAATTGGCGAAAGTCTACTATGCAGGGAAGTAGAAATCTGGCAATGGAGATGAAGGTCGAAACGGTGATGTTGCTTAGGTTAGAAATGGAAGAAGAAGAATTGGCCAGCCAGCCAGCATGAGTGGTGTATAAATTGATTTAGGCTATGTTGGGTGGGAGATTAATAAAATTAGAATTTGAGACAAATAGCACAAAAATATACTACGTATATTCAACTTATTTTTTCTCATTTGATTTATTTTTTGTAGTGTTGATATGATTGAATCTGATCTAATCTAATTAAATCTGATCTGATTTAATTAATTATGATTTAATTTAAAATTCAAATCAATAATTTGATTTAACTTTATAATAAATTTTGAAAATTGTAATGATAATTCATACTATATTATATTACAATCAATATTTTTTATTTTATGATCATTTTTAATGAAATAAAAGTAGTTAATTTATATATTAGAATAATCATTCATATTATAATGTAATTATATAATGTAAAAATATTTTTTCATTCATATTTTAAAATGTAATAACTTTAGAAACTCAAATTACAGGTATCAATAAAATTGTATTTTAAAATTAGAATAGATTAACACTGTTAATGTATTTTTAAAAAAAAATTTCTAACGTATAACAATTAAGGATTACTTTCTCAGTTTTCTAATTAACTTGTTCTAAAATTTATACTTTTTCATTTTTAAGAAAAAAATTGTGCTTCATATCGTATTATTTTTCTCTACATAAATTATAATCGCACAAATATTTTTTTTGAACCGAAAGCAAATATATTTCATCACCAAAATTCACCACACAATACAAATACAATAAACTCCGAGGCTACTCCTAAAAGATATTATGGAGCAGCACAAAACTAGAAAACACTACTATACTCTCTTCCCTTCCAAATATACACCTGATAAGTCCAATTTTTTGGTCTTATTTTATACCTTATATTTCAACATTCTTGTACGTAAACAAAAATAAATTAAGAATTTCAAAGAAATTTTTTTGATAAAAAGTCATTTTACAAATTTGTTAATAAAAAGATTGTTCAAAATTAAATTTAGTTTTTCCAAGCATATCATGGCCAAATAGAAGAAAATATTTCAAATTGATGATCACAAGTGAAGAAAGAGATCAAATCAGGCTTTGGAGCAAAAAGAATGGATCAAAATATCAAAATTGCCAAAATTGGGCCGAAGTTGAGCCCAAACGTCTGAGGGGCGTGCGCCCCAGCCTCAGACGCACGCCTGTGGGGGTGACGATTTGAAACGACGCAAGATCGGATTTTCGGCGGAGAATCCAATCAAACAGAAGCCCAGGCGCCTGACAGGCGTGCACCTCAGCTTCAGGCGCGCGATTGGGCTTCCGGAAGGCTATAAAAACAGTGCTTCTCCTGCCATTCCAACCATCTCATTCTACAAATCTTCCTCTCCTTCTCTCTCTAGTTACGAAAATTGTAGTATAAAATTTGGTTCTTATTCATTTTGGGAGTTTCAAGTCCATAATTGTTCAATTTCGTTTTTTCTAGAAGTTGTAAGTTTTCTGTAATATTTATGAAAATGTTATGTTATTTAATTTGTGTGCATTTATTTGTTATTTGGGAATGTGAATTGAAATAGGGTAGTAGGTATTTAGGATAAATTTAATTAAGTTGGAATATTAAATTTAATTAATTAAAATGTTAAGTTGCTAGTAATTGTAGTAATGTTATAATTAATTTATCTAACCAATTTATTAATTAATTATTGAAAAATTATTATATCTATTTGTCTATGAATGTGAAAAATAATTTAGTCAACCAATACTAGCACATTAATGAAACTTAGAGATAAAATATAATTAATGGAGTAGTTGTAACAGAACTCTCACTAAACAATTAATTAATTATTTTGGTATTCCAACTAGTTAAGAAATCTAAAAATTGCATACTAGCTGAAATTAATTCATATTCCTCTTTATCAATTCAATCAAGTTACTTTTCTAATCAATCAACCTAAATTTTTGAAATTAGAAAACTTCCAATACCAATCATTATGCCTTGTCTAACTAATTTTTAATAGAAAATTTATTTACATGCCAATCCTTGTGAATACGACACGGGAATAAATTTACTACCACTAAAACTCAATCTTCAACACCCATTTGATATACTATCTCCCTGAAAACCTCCTCTTTTGTTTTATGTTTCCCTTGAATTTTTTTTGATTTCGGGCCTTCCAAATCGCATAAGCAGTAGCTGCAAAAATATAGATAATCTTCCTTCTTTTCTTCACTGGATGTATCTTCAAGCATCCCCTCATCAAGTCTATAAGTTTTTGGCCAGCAAAATTATAATTACACCATGGCAAGAGTTTGCAGTAGATTTCCTTAGTATATTCACATCTGCAAAGTAAGTGTTGGACATTCTCCTGGCCTTGCATACACAGTTGGCATTAGGGGTGGGCACGAAAACCGTTCCCGTTGACCCGTTCCGAAATGTGTCGAAACCGTTTTGAAATTGTACCTTTTTTTATTTAATTTTTTTGTGCCGAACCCGTCCTGTCCCGATTTTAAGTGGGACATTACTGGGATAACATAAAAGTGTATCGTTCTATCCCGTTTGTCCCGTTTTATATACTCATCTAAAAACATTATATATATATATATATATATATATATATATATATATATATATATATATATATATATATATATATATATATAGACACACACATGCTCTTGCTAGTAGCACTACTTGGAGCTGGAAGTTTTTTTGTCATCCGTCAAGTCCTTATCCGTAGAGAGCTTGATCTTTCTGCCAAAAAATTGCATGTACGTAGCATATAGTTCAAGGATATCTCATAGAATTGGTAAAGTATTAAAGCTATATATATATATATATATATATATATATATATATATATATATATATATACACACACACACACATATACACACACACACACACACATAAACATAAACACATATATTACTCCGTAATACTTAACAATTTTGAGTACAATTAATACTCGTTGACATTGTTGTAGCATTTATTTTCAATCTTTTTGTTTTCAATTTTCATTATTGTCTTAAAATTAGGAAAAAGTAGGACAATCCGAATCCGTTCTATTTTGTCCCGGTCCCAAAAATTATGGGATAAAGTGGGATAGACTTGTGGTTCGAACCGTTTGAATATAACGGGACAGGACGCGGGATTGTAAGAAACCCGAACCGTCCCGACCCGTGCCCACCCCTAGTTGGCATACATTGTCAATGGATAAGAATCTGGCCATCATGCATTTAGTTTGAAGTTTCTCTCCCAACAACCAAGTGTAACCTGCATTTGGGTTATAGGCAGTAGTAGTATCCATCTCAGCAAAACAGTCTCTCACCTGGATCAGTTTTTTCCAATAAAAACAGCTATCATTTCTACTATGATGATCCCAAATACTGTCCTTCTTCAAGTATTTTATATATACCCATTTGATCCAAAGGGCATCCTTCTTCAATAAAATATCCCAGATCAGTTTCATGATATTAGCCTTATTCCACAAAAAGATTTTTTTTAAATCCAAGCCCCCCTAGGCATAGAAATGTTTCATTTTCTTTCTTATATTTTTTCAAGAGATATTAAATTTATTTTTTAAAAAAATCGTATCAAATGACACAAGTAAAAATATGGAATTTAAAAAGTTGGAGTAATAACGATGATGATGATGATTCATAATAATAATATTAATAATAATAAAATTATTAATTTGAATTTTAAATCCAATCATAATTAATTTGATCAGATCAGATTCAATCAGATCAGATCAAAACTACAAAAAATCAATCAGATGAGAAAAAATAAGTTGATCAGAATGAAACCTAATTCAAATGCACATATTTTTGTGCTATTTGTCTCAAATTCTAATTCTATAATCTCCCACCAAACATAGACTAAATTTATTTATACACCACTCACGATGTGAGACACGCCAGTTCTATTTAATAATAATAATAATAATAACAACAACAATAACAACAACAACAACAACAATAATAATAATTTGTTAATTTACTATGGCAAAAGGGAAACATGTATAATATCTTTTCCCAACTAAGTTTTTGGGTTTGGATTGAGTGAAAATCCTTGGTCATTCTAGTATGAGCGAGTTTGGTTACATAAAATAGACAACTTTATAGGAGGTCATGAAACAGTATACATTTTGCATTGGGTTACGTGTTTAAACGGTCTTTGGGTGGTGTGCTTTGAGGAGAAATTAAACAGCCTACTTTATTGGTAAACGTAATATTAATTATTTTATATAGGAGAATGTGTGATGACGGCTAGGCTTGGGTATTGTAAAAGAAACACTTGCTTTAATTCATAAATTCAAATGGCGGCTAGGTTATGGTATTGCATTGGATGAACATCCAACTTTATGGGGTAACGTGAGGACATAATAACTTTTGCATAGGAATGTGTGCATTAAGAGAGAGAACATTTTGAGAGGAATGAAATACTATATTCTTCCTATCTTGAAATAAATAAAAAAAATTCTCTCTCTTGTCTCGATAACTTTTATTTATTTGTATATTTCATTTAAGTACATTATAAAATAAAATATTCTTATAATCCTAGTTTTTTTGCCACCTTCAAGTATGGATGTCAGAGATGATGTCACACAAGACTCTTTACTCGGATTCGGGCTGAGTCAAGACTGCCTCCATGTGATCATCGAGCATTGGGGCAACGAGCGGGCCCTTCGTGTGTGGCGCCTTGAGGAGAAGGAGGATGCGCCAAGATGGCTTTTGGTGCATAAGGTGATTGTTTCCATGGATCTGCCCGACATTGGGAGAAAAGGTCTCAAATTCGCGGCCTTCCACCCACACGACAACAACATCATCTTCTTTGAGATGCCTGCTTTAGTTATTCGAATCGATTTCCGCACTCGAAAGGTCAAGTGTTGCTTTGCCACCAGCTCCAAAATCCACCCCTCTCCATTTCTCACTTCTTCGTGCGCGTCTCTCGAGTTTCACCGGTCAAGCTCCCTCTCTAGCCTTCCAGCCCCCCGAGCCAAGTAAGCTTCCTTCTTTCTTCCTTTGTTTTTCCTTTCTTTTCTTCGCCTCTCCTTCCGGTCAATGTCTTCCCCTGATAGCCAAGATATTTCTGCCTCGGATGCCCGCGCATCCGAGGAATCCCTTTCCTCTTCTTCTTCGACCGGGTCATCTTCTTCCACCCCTCAGCCCCGATCGAATCCCAACCCTAGCATCCCTGAACCGCAGCCGTTAAACCAGATGCCCGGTCACCTTTTTGCGGAGAGGGAGGAGCCGGTCAATGACGAACCGGCCCCCTACGACCCAGAAAAAGAGACCCGGGATCAGTGGGTGGAGAGGTTAGATGCAGCCGGTTACTCTCCCCTCCCCACCTCCTTCGTTATAGACATCCACCCCCATGTTTCTAAGATAGCCTTGAATAAAGCCCGTAGGAACCTCCCGGTGGGCTATGTTCTCGAATTCGACGAGAACTCGCCCAACATCATCGAACCTCACTGGGAGGATAGAATAGGTTTCCATATCGCTTCCTTAGAGAGCGGTATCGTTTTTCCCCTCTGCCCCCTCTTGGTTGAGTTGTGTCACTGCTTCGGGATCCTTCCGGGCAGATAACACCCAATGCTCACCGGTTGCTTAACGCCTTTGCCAACATCTGCACATCTCTCCACATCGACCCCTCCCTTCGCCTCTTCCTTTATATGTTTGAGGTTCGTCCCGGCAAACCGGGTTGGGAAGGTTTTGTTTATTTCAAAGGGCGAAACAACCGTAATTTCATATCTGACCTTCCACAAAGTAACCGTTTGTGGAAGGAAAAATTTTTCTTCATAAAATTTCCCACGTCCGTCACTCCTTTGGCCGGCTTGAAGTGGAGTGACCATCTCCTCAAGCACCAGTTCACCGAACCGCCGGTCACCCCGGATTTTGAGGAGAGCCAGGAACGGCTTCTCAGAGGGGACCCCAACACCGGTCAGATGTATCATTACGGGGGTTGGGTGTGGCGCGTCCAACCGGGTGGCGAGGGTACCTCCCGGGCCCATGAAGCAGCGGGGCACGGGGGACCCTCCCCGGGCGACACTGCGGAGGCTAGAGGTCCAAGTCACCCAGGTACCATCTATTTTTTCCTTTTGCTTTTCTCACTGGTCCGGTCATGGTTTGATTACTTAGAAATAATTTGCTTGTTCTTGTAGACATGAATTTCAGGGCGTACAATACGCCGAAGACTACCGCTGGCTCTTCTTCTGCTGCCGCCACAAACAAGCCGGTACGACCGGAGACGGTTGTGATCAATGATGAAGAGGAAGACCCTCAGACCGGGGGGATGGACCAGACAAGGAATGCACCGGTGAATCCCTCCCCCAACAAGGGCAAGGGGAAGATGAGGACGAAGAAAACTGCAACCACTCACCCGGCCGCGAAGAGGAAAAGGGGAGAAAGCTCCCCGGTTGGTGAATCGATGGAGGAGTTGTGGGTCAAGATGACCCTTAAGCTGAAAGAGGTAACATTATCCCGGTATGTTACCCTTAGCAATCTGCTTGCTCATTTCCCTGACCGGTTTATTTCCTTATTCGCAGATGGGCGAGGTCGGCCCGGAAATTCTGGAACAGCTCGCCGGTGATCCCTCGTCCCGGTTAAGTCAACTCGAGGAGCAGCTGAAAAGATCCGAGGCACACAACCGGGAGCTCCAAGATCTGACGGGCCGTCAATTGGATGAGGTGGCCAATCTTGCAAGGATGGCCGGGGAGGCAGAAGCCGAGGTCATCCGGCTGAAGGAGGAGAACCTCAAGTTGATGGAAGACTTGGAGCTGAAGGAAAGGGAGTTTCCCGGCAGGGCCAGGCAATGGGTGGGGGAGAACTTAGATGAGGTCGCCCGGGTGATCACCTCTGATCAAGAGAAGACAGTGGAGGCCTTCAAGCTGATCTACCGGGAGGAGCAAGGAAAAGAGATGATCACCCAGATTGGCTCTTATGGCTTCATGTCCGGGCAGAAACGAGACCGGGAGGCTACACATGCAGTCCTGGTTGAACGATTTCCGGATTTTGATGCTGAATCATATGGACTGGCCCCCATCCCGGATGATGAGCCTGCACCTCCCTTCCCTCTCGAGTGATATCTCCCCGGCTGCGACCGGTTATCCTTTTGGAAACTTTAAAACTTGAAAATTTCCCCGGGGATGCCCGGTGTATCTGTGAACACTTGACTTTTTATTTCGTCTGAAATGCATTGCTTAATTTCCATACCGGTTATTCCTCCATATCTGTTTGCTTCTTGATTGATACTTTGTACATATCATAGAAACTCTGATCGGTACATAAATCAGGCCGCTTCTCAATTTTCGACCGGTAGAACTTCAAAGTTCTCTTTGATCACTTTATCTGAAGGATCAGCTCGAGTAACTTTGACCGGTTGAACTCCGACTTGATGGTCAATTTGAAAAAATGTTTGACTGGCCGGACTTCATTTTGGCTTTTGAACACCTTCGTTCGATGAAGTAGAGTATGACCGGTACGTTCCCAGCTCATGTTACGACCGGTCAATCGCTTTGCCTTGAAGAACTTTCGAAGTTTCGTCGTAGCAATATCCAACCGGGGTATTTCCTTTTTTTTTCTTTTTTTTTCAAGTTGATCGGTAGGTTGTAGATGGAACACCTGTAACCTTGTAATTTCTTGAAGTATCCTTAACCGGTAAGAATACTGGAGATTTAACCATGTTCGAATGGTTTCAAACCCTCTCCAAGGTTCAAATGCACCCTTCTTCCAAGGCCCCCTCTTCCGGGTGATTAAGTCTTTTAATGGCCCTTTGATTTCTACCATCCCGGGAAGGCCTTAGCTCACTCCCCCGTTCAAGTCTTCATTGAGAAGGGGGAAATAGGATGCGCCACGGTGGACGATCCCCTTCTATTTCTTTTAATGGGCATCTTTTAGTCCCCAATCAATTTGACGGCGTCGGCTGATTCCCCGACATCGGTCAAACCTCATGGGCCCGTGTAAGTACGGTTCGAACCCTCTTCCAGGTCCAGCCCTCTTGCAGGCATACCCTCTTCCGGGCCCCTCTTCCGGGTTTTATATTTTGTTCTATTATACTGAGGAAGACTGGTGTAGTAACCAGTGTGCCAGGTCCGGGCCTGTGTCTCAGTTTGCTTATCCGAGTGGATCCGATCCACCCGGGAAGCCCTCCTAGGATAGGTTCGACCTATCAATTCTGCTGCGACCATGTAGAATATTGAACGTCATCGGTTTGATTGATAATAAAGTAGGCCTTGCCTAGTATTATAATCATTTGTAGAACTTGCGAAGATGATGGGAATTCCAGGTTCTTTCTACCGGTACACCTTCAAGAGTTTCTAACCGGTAGGTCCCCGGGCGAATGATAGCTCTCACCCGGTAAGGCCCTTCCCAGTTTTTGGCCAGCTTTCCTCCGTCTCCCGGTCTACTAGCCTCCCTTTTTCGCAGGACTTCATCGCCGACTTGAAAGTATCGCGGTCCAACCTTGTTGTCGTGGTACTTCTTCACGACTTGTTGATATGTGCTCATTTTAACTTCCGCGGCCATTCTCCGTTCTTCGACCAAGTTGAGTTCGGCCAAGTGGTCTTCTTCATTTTGTTGGGGTTGATAATTTGATTCCCGGAACGTTGGGAATTCAGCTTCGATGGGCAGCCTTGCTTCACACCCATAGGTTAGGGAGAATGGAGTTTCCCCGTGAGCCCTCCTGGGTGTTACTAGGAATGCCCATACGATGTGTGGGAGCTCTTCCAGCCACTTGTTTCCTGCTTCTCCCAGCCGTTTCTTTAAACCATCTACAATAGTTCTGTTGGCGTTTTCGACTTGGCCTTTTCCTTGGGGGTACGCCACCGAAGAGCGATTGTGCTTGATCCCGAAGCCCTCCAAGTATTCGGTGAATCTTGGATTTCGGAATTGTGGGCCGTTGTCGGTTATGAGGTTCATGGGTGCTCCAAACCTCGTGATGATGTTCTTCCAAATGAATTTCTTACATTGTTGCGTGGTGATGTTGGCCAATGCTTCGGCCTCGATCCACTTGGTGAAGTAATCGATGGCTACGATCACGAACTTCTTCCCTCCTTGGGCGACTGGGAATGCTTCGATGATGTCAACCCCGAATCTAGCGAATGGGATGACGTTTGATACGGGGTGATAGTAGGTAGCCGGTCTACCAGGATACTTGTAGAATACTTGGCACGTCCGGCATTTCTGAACGTACCTTTCACAATCCTGGACAATTGTTGGCCAGTAATACCCCAACAAGATGATGCGTTGGGAAAGCGTACGGGACATTTGATGCGCCGCGCATACGCCTTCGTGAACCTCCGCTATGACTCGCTCAGCCTCCCGGTTGGTTAGACATCTCAGGAGTGGCCCCCCAAATGCCCTTTTATACAGCTTTCCATCAAGAACCTGGAATCGGGGTGCCCTGAGCTTCACTTTTCTTGCCCGATCATCTTGTTCTGGCAAGCTCCCATCCATCAGATCATACATCCAATGGTCGTCTGCCCCGACCAGGTTTGACCGGTCATACTGGCTTCCGGCCGTTATAGCAGCGACTTCCAATTTTTCGATGCTTGCACGGTTAAGGATCTCTACCCGGGCGAGATTTGAAACATGCTCGGGAGCATACTGCGTCAACTTGTAGAGAAGGTCTGCATCCGCGTTTTCCGCCCGGGGAATTTGGGCGATCTTGAACTCTTCGAAGCCTTTCAACAGGGCAAGTACAAAGTCCTTGTATTGTGCCATGCGTTCTTCCCTTGCTTCCATGTTTCCGGTCACCTGCCCAACTATCAGGCTAGAGTCAGATTTGATACTGACCCGGCTGATTTTCAGGGCTTGGGCAAGTCTGAGCCCCCCAGCCAAAGCTTCGTACACTGCCTCATTGTTTGTCAGCTTGAAGTTGAAGACGATTGCATGGTAGATCTTGAACCCTTCTGGGGTGGTGAACACGATACCACCCCCGTATCCTCTAGGACCGGATGCCCCATCAACTGTCATCTCCCACCATTGCTCAGTGGGCTTGTTGACCGGTGAATCTGGAGTTAGACCGGTCATTTCTACTAGGAAGTCAGCAAGGGCCTGTCCCTTGATTGCCGACCTTGGCCGGTATTCAATGTGGAATTGAGTTAACATCATCACTCACTGCACCATCCTCCCGGAGGATGTTGAATTTCGCAACACTGCACCCAGCAGTTGGTTAGTCAAGACTTCTACCGGGTGGGCTTGGAAGTAGGATGTTAACTTTTTTGCGGAGATGAAAAGCGCATAGACTGTCTTTTCCATCGCCGTATATCTACTCTCGGCCCCGTTTAGTGCTTTGCTCACATAATAAATGGGTTTTTGCGCCCCATCATCTCTTATTAAAACGGAGCTTACAGCATTTGGGGAAATTCCCAGGTACAGATACAGAGTTTCACCCGGTTCGGGTTTAGACAATACAATATCCGACGCTAGGTACTCTTTCAGCTCCTCGAATGCCCTCCGGCATTCTTCGTCCCATGCAAATGTGTTGGCCTTCTTCAGAACTTTGAAGAAGGGCAGGGATCTCTCAGC